TAAAGTGAAAAACATGTTTCGGCTTCAAAATTAAGTGCATTAACACGTGAACTTTTCTGGGGATCCACTCTCAGAATAGGACTGACCTATCTCATGAGAAGCGTGAATTTGTTCATTGCCATCTTTATCTCTGCATCACCTGATATTATCCTGAAAGGTAAAAGAGCCATTGAGAAGATACATATGTTTGATAAATTACAATTTTGTTGTCAATACTTTATTAATGAGACCAAATAAATGCATTTAGTATAAACATAAACATCGACATAGTTGTTGTTGTTTTCCTCTCATCAGTAAAACAAACAGAATGTACGCCAGCCTTTCACATTAGATTCAATGTTATAAACCTCAATTATCAGAAAGATACGTACTTGAGTAAATGTACAGTCCACTGCTAATAATTACATTGATAAATCCCATTTTAGGAGGATGTCCTTTGATATATTTATTGATCTCGACCTGTTTATTGGTTTCAAGGCATGAAAAGCGGCAAAAGGATACAGATGAAGGTTACATCAACTTCATCAAAGACCAAACAAGACAGACATATAAAGCAGGACAGCAAAAACAACAAAGCAACAACTAAATATATGACCGTGACACATTCATTTCAAAGGTAGTTCTATCATTTAGAAGGATAATCATACGAAATGTTTTTTGTGGCATTTTTTTAATCTGTGATTGCATCCTTGCCCATTTTTGCAGCATGTTCATCTGATGTCATACGGCAGTCCTTTTCCTCTGTGTCGACGACGCCCTGAAGAGTCAGAGGCCATCTGACATTCAGGGAGCGAGAGGCGAGGAGTCATCTGTGTACAGGGCGCAGAGTAGTGGACTGAGCACATCTCTCTCTCTCTCTCTCAGTGAAACAGCAAAGACAGGTGGGGGTCACGGTTGATATACAGGAAGCCTTATAATATCCACCAGCAGATTTCTGAAATGATGTTCAGCTGGGAGATTTGCCCACAGAGCACTTTCAGGATGATGGTGCTGAATTCACAGCTAATGTATATTCGCTGTCATTGAGGTTTACGGGAGTTCTTGGACAAATTATAGGACCGTGTTGACACAGCGGACACTTCAACACGAAGGCCAACTGCAGGGGGTAAAGGAGCGAGGCTGTATTACATGGGAGATAAGAAAACACTGAGAGATACAAGGACTCCGTGAAGATTGAGGTCAGTGCCACTTGGCTGAGCTCACAGAGGCAGGTAAGCTTGACCTTCTTCAGCACAGGACTGATTCAAGTAGGCTACGATGTCTTTTGGGGACAAACAGTGCCTGGTTAAATGTCACTGATTAAATGTTACTGTGACTCTAAGAATATTTCAGGTAGCGCAAAGGCATAAGAAAAATCACTTGTGCACTTTTGTATCTGTTATGCCCGGAGGTGTGGGAGAATTTGGTATTAGCTCTTAGATCATTTTACCCTCAGGCAACTACAGCCCTCCATGAGTCTGTATTGACAAGGTTATTACTGACGCTGTTTAAAACACATGTGGAAGATGTCATTTGAAAATAATAGAGCTTTATAACCTGTGTTTTTAATCAATATACATTTTAAAGCGGAAAATCTGTCATTTCTGCAGGATTATAAGCCCACAGTCCCATAATAAAAAGGCCATAGATCAGAGGGCCGGTCAGGTCGATGTGGGTTAAAGGGAGGTTTGGTGAAACTCTGAGGTGGACAACAACAACGAGGGTAAAGGTGCTGCACGCACAACATCTCTTTGCCTCACCTCGGAGTAGGAGGCACAGTCACAGGAAGGTCTTATGCAACCAAAGCTGGATGAGCTTGGATTAATGGTTTAATCATTTCTGAAATACTGCGAGCGAGTCATTAAATATGCAGTCATGATAACCACCACACTGTTTTATGTACAATCTACATGCATGGTTATTGAAGCGCAGCCTCCTGATAGATGCTAATCTAATATATATATGGGGAGTAACAGTTCATCTCATAGATTAACAATGTTTCCAGAAGAGGCATTTATAACCATACTCAGCGCTCTGGCCAGACTTGAGAATTTTAACAATGTAAAATATTTTCTCTTTTCTTCTATTTCAAACTAATATGACTATGTTATGAATTCATAATTATTATTTTCCCAACTTAAGTTCAGTTGACCACAGAAACCCCGGTTTGAATCCGGGTCACATGTGCTCAGTTTTGACACAGAAAGAGAGAAGATGTCTCATAAAGTCCTGAGACCAGCTTGACCCTATGGCTTCAATCACAGAAGATGACGAGCAGACTGATAGACCAGTGATTCTTAACCATGGGGCTTTTTCCGTCGAAATGCTGCAAGATCCGACTTGCAGCGGTTATGGCGACTTTGGACAGTGTGTGTTTGGGCTCCTTTTGTGAAAAATCCATAAGAAATGAAAGAAAATCAATGATTTCTTTGCAAAGATGAGGGTTTTGGGCATGCTGGGATACCAAACACGGCCATGTTTTGTGACGTAGTTTGCGCAAGCAAGCCGTAGGAACAGAACGGAAGGGGAGGGGATCGAGGGCGCCGGCATCCTCGCGGAGTTGAACAGGCAAAACCCTTGTCAAATAAATGAGATGATACAATGTGATGATCACAAAGACATTTATTTATCATGTGATGTAAACATTACACGATTTAACCAC